GATATACTGACAAGAAAAGCCAGGTGCAGAAGTGAATATACATAATTTTCATTTTTGTTAAAAGAAAGGAAACTACACATTGAATACACACTCACTCAAACTCTGTATGTGCACAGAAAAAGGCCTAAAAAATATATACACCAAAAAATGTTAACAGCGATTATGCCTGGAAAGTAAAAAGTGCAGGAGGTGAGGAGAAACTTTAAAATTCTGCATTTACTTCAAATTGAAATCATTAAGGGCCGGCCTGTGGCTCACTCAGGTGAGTGTGGTGCTGATAACACCAAGGCCATGGGTTCGGATCCCATATAGGGATGGCCGGTTTGCTCACTTGGGAGAGCATGGTGCTGACAACACCAAGTCAAGGGTTAAGATCCCCTTACTGGTCATCTTTAAAAAAAAAAAAAAAATCTTTAAGAGGACCCAGTTTGTACACCCCACTTCTTTCCTTCCAGGGAGGCAAGAAGTTGAAGGTCATTTCTCAGAAAGTGTTTCAGGGGTGGAGCAGGCAGGCAGGAAAGAGGGAGAGGAAGGAAAGAAGTTCTGGCCTTCGAAAAGTCCTCTCCAGTACTTCATTCTTATGATGCGAGAATGAGAAGAATAGCTGAAATATGTATCAGTTATAGATCCAATCTAGATTCATAAGAAAGTATCAACTAGAATCCTTTGGCAATACCCAAATCCCTCCTGAAGACGTATGGAGACCCGGGCTCCATACATCAAGAGGCTGAAGAGTCAAGGCTAGAGACAACATAGTCCCAGATTTTAACCTCCAATTCTCTTACCTCATCTTCGGGATCAGGATAAGGTCTCTTGCAAATGCAGTACAATCCAAAAAAGTTGTCATTGTACTTATTGCCAGAATTTACCTTTGCTTTGTCCTGAAAGAACATTGATTTCAATATATAATATGGTCTAACATTAACTATAATTTCATGCATCATAAAATTTCTGCATTCAACAAATTTTTACATTAAATATCTTCCCCACAGATATTCAACTCTGTACCCCACATATATGTATAATCAATGTTTCAATAAAAATAAATAATAAAAGTAAAAAATAAATATTCATTATCAACCTATGTGAACTGACATTGGCCTAGAATTTCAAAATAGTTGTTTATGCACTGCTGTGATAGCCAAGACCCCCGGGTTACTAGAAGGCAAAAAGAAGGCAAAGAAATCGTCCAAAACTAACATTCAAAGGAAAATTTTAACAGTTTAGCAATTATGACTGAACAATGTAACATTCCTTATTTTCTCTTTCATTTCTATTATTTCACTAGAAGTTATTAAATAAGCATAGCTTTTATTAGCCAACAAGCAACGAAAAAGTCCTATGTGCAGCTAGCCCACATTCATTAATACCAAGTTTTATTTATTCTTTTCTTTTTCATTTTTTTTCCTTCTCAGATATTTCTTTCTAATAAATTGACTATTAAATTTCCAAAGTTCTGAAATAGCCAACAGATGATAGAATAACATTTCTTTAGGCTCCTGCTTGAAACCAACAGCTTCAGCAAATGACTGGCCCTGATTCAGGGCCAATACTCAGTTTTAAAAATCATATGCTTTGCCTTAAAAGCCTCAGAGCATGAGCACAACCAACACAATTCAACCTGAATGACTTCAAAGAATATTTTCCCCTAAAACCTTTCATATTAATTATAATGTATATTGTAGGCTCTGGACAGGTTATTTAGTTTTTCCAACAAATAAAAAATGGAATACCCATCTGCAAAGAAAGAGCATAAGAACTTCCTTTTTGGGAAATATTTGGGTTTTTATCCACTCTGTCAAATATCAAACTCAGCTCCTTTAAATACATTTATAGTTATAGGGCCGGCCCGTGGCTCACTCGGTAGAGTGCGGTGCTGATAACACCAAGGCCCCGGGTTCGGATCCCACATAGGGATGGCCGGTTCGCTCACTGGCTGAGCGTGGTGCTGACAACACCAAGTCAAGGGTTAAGATCCCCTTACCGGCCATCTTTTAAAAAAGAAAAAAAAAATACATTTATAGTTATAATGCTTACTCACAGGAAATAATTTGCATTCCAAATTTTTAAACTTGCTGTTTCCACAATCACAACGAAAATTTCTGAAAAAAGGAGAAAAGCCAACTTTATTTATCTTTTAAAAATTTAATAAAATACTCTAAACTCAAATCATAGCCTCTTCCCTTTCAGCTCATTTCTAGGATCTAGAAAGTGGCTTTCGTTGCTGTTCATGCACCCAATTCAGAATTTCTCCAAGCATCTAACAATAAAAAATTTTACAATTCTGGAAGTTAATATGCATAAAAACAAATATCTATATCACACACATGCATAGTGGCAGAGAAGGATGAATAGTTTGAGTTTGTACCATAATCATATTTTAAAGAGCCCTATGGAAAAACTATTCTCTCCAATTATATAAATCAATTGTATTAAATTTCACCAGTGCACAACTACTTTGAATTGAAAAACAAGATTCAGAAAAAAGCATAGTTGGGAAAGAATCTAAACATTTAGAAAGCATTCAGGAACAATTTCTGACTGTGTTTACCTTTTTGTGTACAGCTCGAATAGTTTATGACTTCCATGACATTCATAACTGCAAGCTAGACAAATTCCTGCTGGTTCTTCTCCCTCTGGAGTGCAGGTACTACAGGCATACAGTGCTTGTCTCTTTACCGAGCCCTAAAAGACAGCCCCCAAATAGAAAAGATTCAGAAAATAAATTAATGAAATAGCATAGTTACCTAATACACATAGTATGATCTGAGAAATAGTTAAAATCAGATTATCTATGGTCAAGATTTTCCTATAAAAGCTATTAAGACTATTAAACAAGTTTAGGGCTGGCCCTTTAGCTCAGTTGTTTAGAGCTCAGTATTGAAACACCAAGGTCAAGGGTTCAGATCCCCTCCCCTACCAAAAACAAAAAAAAAAAAAAAAAAAAAAAAAAAAGATTATACAAAAGAGAACCAAAACACTGTTGCATGTTTCTCATACTGATACTAGTGCTTGTTTTCATAATTTTTTCTTAAAGTGATAGACGTTTGTCAGTCAGTAAAATGATTGGTTAATCATTTTAACATATGAAAATGTAGGAGAATGTGTATAGGTTTATGTAACTAATACCACACTTTAATTTTGGAAAATGCTTGTTATTCCACCAAAGAGAAAATCAATGTATGAAAAGAATCCCTTCGATTTTTAGGAGATGCATGCTGAAACATTTAGAGGTGTAGCATCATGATGTCTGCAACTTATTTTCAAGTGTTTTTTTTTTTAAAGTAGTATATTATAGAGAGAGATAAATGTGGCAAAATGTTAAGATATACAGGTACTTATAATACTACTCTTTCAACTTAGCTGTAGATTTACAGTGTTTCAAAATAAAAAGTTAAAGGAAAAACAGGCAAAACTTTTAGAAATCTTGGTAATGATTACCCTCCTCTGGGAAAGAAGGAGGTTTCCGGAATGCCAGTAATATTCTATTTCTTGATCTGGGTGGTGTGTACATGCATGTGTTTGCTTGTCTTTTCAAGCCATACACATGATTTGTGCAAATTTCCATATGTTTTACTACAATACAAAGAAAATTTTAAGGAAGTCCATTTTATAAAGCTAACAACATTTCAAAAATACCTTACATATAGAATTAGGGAAAAAGTTGTTTTAGTGGTGACCAAAGGTTTTAAAATACCAGCCAATATCTGGAACTATTTCTGGATACCAGTTTTATTCAACTTTGCAGTGTAAACTAAACTTGGTCAACAATGACAACTGGTATTATGATCTCAGTCCATATCACATAATGACTGTAAGTCTCTCCCCTCATTCCCCAGTGTTCCACTCCACTCCCCTGCCTAGGTAAGCTTCTTCCTCCTACCAATTCTCATCCTTTGTTAATTTTCTTCCTACCATCCTTCTCCATTTTTGTACCTAAAAATATAGAGTGAGTCACCAAACATTATGTCACATCCCCTCAAACCCTGTTCACAACGTCTTCCAAATGTCAAACAGATCCTTTTCTCCTCCCCTCTCTTCTCCCTTGCCAGGGCCACCTGCTGTTCTGGTTCCTGTCTGGGAGATGGGGGAGACGCTGCAGACAGACACGGTACTTGCTTCATTTTGCCAAAAACAAAAAAAGAGTACTAGCTAGCACTTGTCCAACTTAATAGCACAGGAAGTAGCTGTCAAAGAGCACACCCCACACGGGGAGATTTTAAAATTCTTTAACTCTATATTCTATTCGGTTCCTAATAAATAAATTCTTCTAGGATGGGAAAATTGGGGACAAAGATGTCTGAATTGGAGAGGTCATGGGGATGGTTTCGTGAAAAGCACTTGGGGCACCAAGAAGAGACTGGAGAGGAAGGACAGAGCAACTCCTCCAGGACCTAAGTGGTGGGGCCGGACGGAAGAAGACTGAGGGAGGCGGGAGGCCCCTGGGGACACTGGCTGAGGAAGGGGGCCCAGAAGGCTGAGGGTGAAAGGGCAGCTGGGCCTGAGATGGGGAAGCCTAAGACGAAGTGGCCCAGACCGCCACCGGGGAGACGACCGCTACAGGCGAGGTTAGGGAAAGCCCGACCGGGAAAAGGAGGTCCAGCGGGAGCCGGGGGAGGGACGGGGCCTGGCCGCGCGCCCACCTGCGAGTAGGAGCACTTCTCAGAGTCGCTACCGCCCAAGACGGCGCACGCCTCATTCTCCAGCTCCTCGTCCTCCTCAAGTACGTCGACCAAAGACACCACGGGCTCCAGCTCCAACTGCCTCCCGGCGGGTTCCTCAGCTCCGGCCATCCTCAACTGTCACCCGGACCAGGGCTCAGTCCGGGCGGAGGCGGGAAAAGTGGTCCGGAGGTGCGTAGCCAGAGGAGGCGGGGCATGGGTGTCGATAACCAATCCCAAAGAAGAAAAGCGAAGAAGGGGGAGGAACAACTTCCGACAAACGGAAGTAGTTTCTCCTCCTCCCGCGTGGGCCTGCTGGGGGCTAGTTTCCGCTTCCGGGTGACCTTCTCTGTGGCGCTTCCGCGTGGCGCGCTCTTGAAGCTAAACGGTAGTCATGGAGCTGATAGGGGAGTACGTCGGGTGGGACGGGCAGCGGCAGCGGCTGCGGGTGCCCTGTGAGACTCCGCCTGAGGCCGACCGTTTCCAGGGACTGTTGTCGGGCGTGGCCCAGATGAGGGAGCTGGTGATCGAACTCTTCGATCCCCTGGTACAGCGGGAAGCGAAGGACCGGGTGACGGCGGTTCCAGACGCGGCCTTGGACGGTGAGCTCTGAGACTGTGCGGGAGTGACAGGAGGGCGGGGCGGGTCCCCAGGGGAAATCTTTTGGGGGAACCCGTGTATTGTGGCCGACTTAGAGAAAGAAAGCCTGGGGGGAAGAGGAATGGCATCTAAAAATTGTTGGCACTCACCGCCATATTTATCTGGGCTGCTTCTATTCGGGCGTTATCACTTCTCATTTATATCACCAAAAAGCGTGCTGAACGCCTGCTGCTCTGAGCCAGGCACTGGGCTGAGCTCTGGAGAAAGAATGAGGTGCATGCGCTTGAGTTCCTTCCCTTGTGGAACACAAGGAGATTAGACAGGGAGGCGCTCTTCCTAAAGTGTAACTCTATTGCAAACAGAGAACCCAGGAAGGCTTCAGAGAGGTCATGACTTTTGAGCTGGGTGTTGAAGGATGAAAAAGAGTTTTCCCAACTATGAAATTATTAACATGTTTGCAAGAGTCCAGTCTATCACTGAGTAGGAACAGGTTCCGAAGGTGGGACAGACTTAAGTTTAACGAGTCCTAACTCCTAGAGACTCCTTTCCCATATCCAAGGTTTTTTTGTAGGTGCAGTTTCAAAGTGGAAACGTGAAGTTTAACTGCATTATTATTTTTTTTTAATCTTGTCTTGAATACAAAAATAGGTAAAAACATTTTGACTGCCCTAAACTGAAAAACCTAAGAACTAGATACTGGAATCATGACTTATAATCCTGCAGGGGAGCTGAAACTGTACTTTCCTTTCCATCTTGTTTACTTATTGATAACGTGAATGTTGGCTGTAATCAAAAAGAACAATACAAGTGTTGGCTAGGATGTGAAGAAATTGGAGACCTTGTACATTGTGGGTGGAAATGTAAAATGGTATACCAACTTTGAGAAACAGTTTGGCAGTTCCTCAAAAAGTTAACGTAAATTTACCATATGACCCAGCAGTTCCACTGCCAGTCCTCCCAAGAGAACTGGAAACATACGTTCACCCAAAACCTTATGCATGATTGTTCATAGCAGCATTATTCATAGTAGCTTAAAAATGGAAACAACATAAATGTCCATCATCTGGTAAATGTATAAACAAAATTGGTATATCCATACAATGGAATATTACTTAGAAATAAAAAGGAATGAAGTATTGGTCCATTCTACAACATGAACGAACCTTGAAAATACTATACTAAGTGAAAGAAGCCCGACACAAAAGCCCACATTTTGTATGATTCCATTTATAGGGCATGTCCAGAATAAGCAAATCCATAGAGATAGAAAGTAGATAAGTGGTTGCCAAGGGCTGAGGGGAATGGAAAGTGACTGCTAATGGGTATGGGGTTTCTTTTTTGGGGTGTTGGTTGCACAAGTCAGTGAATATACTAAAACCCACTAAACTGTACACTTTTAAAAAGTTAATTTTGTGGTAAATGAATTAAATCTCCAAAAATGAAAGTGATAGCAGAGAAAGGTTTCATGTCTACATCTCATTTGAAGACAAAAATAGAGAAAGGTTTTAAACACTGAAATTCCCGGGGAAGAAGACACAACAATCACAACAATTCCTTGAACTTAAGACAAGTGAACAGATAGGATGTAGTGGGGAGGGGGAAGGGTAGGGAGGGAGAGGGGAAAGAGGAACGGGTAAAGGGACATGAAAATTAACTACATTGTATGTTGAGAAGTTAAAATAAAAAAGTAAATTAAAAAACAAAACACAAATAAATGGAATTGCTTTTTTAAAAAAAATAAAATAAAATAAACTGACATTTCCAAAATCTTTTAAATCTAAAATATGCATGGTTTTATTAATCCCTAAAGTGAGATGGTCTCATTATCAAATGTTTTCGCTGTTTACATTGCTTTCATCCACTGAACATATTATCATACAACAAATTTATTTTAAAAGGTGATGATGAAGATGATGCAGAAGATGAAAATAACATTGATAACAGAACTAATTCAGATGGACCAACTGCAAAACGGCCAAAACCACCATCTTAACGATAGCTTTTATGAAATTTAAAAGACTGCTACTATATCCTAATTATCACACACTGATATTTGAGGAAGACTTGTACTCTAATTTGGAAAAATATTTATTTTATTCCCTTGGGACAATTTTGTCAGAGAGAAACTGTTTCTCTGTTTCTAGCAAAGAAAGATAATGTTTAAAAATAAAATCTGTTTTCTTTAGTGAGAAATAATTATCAGGCCATGGACATAAAATAGAACACTTCATAATGTATAAAATTCCTCTAAGGTGGCAACTGAATTTTTATCGTTTTCTATTTTTAAATTAGCCATTGAATTAAATTGTGCGATGTCTGTATCTTTTAGCTTCTGCTTCTGAACATGTCATGGTTCATAGGCAATAACATTTCGAAGAACTGATGTGAGCAAGCAGTGAAATTTGGGTATTAAATGTAAGAATGTCAGTTCTTTATAAGTAGAGGAAAATAAAGGAATACAAGTACTGAAGAGAATCAAGGAGAATCCTTGAGAGAGACCCAAGGAAATCTTGAATTCACACCTATACCCAATATACGGACATCCAGAGGTGATACCACTCAATGAATGTGCATTAATCTTCTGATATATGTTGTACCATAAGAAACAATATATGTTCACAGCTACATAGGAAAAATAAGTTCTAGTGGTCTACAGTAGTGCTAGTCATCTATAATTAATAATTTGTTGTATATCGTCAGTTGGTTAGAAGAGAGGATCTCAAGTGTTCTCATCACAGAGAAACAGTTAATTTTTGTGGTGACAAATTTGCTAATCACCCTGATTCAATCATCACACATTGTATGCAAGTATTGAAATATAACTCTGTACCCCATAAATATGTACAGTCAGTGCGTCAATTAAAAAATAAAATTTTTTAAAAGTTAAAAAAAAGAAACAATCTATGTTGACTATAACTTAGATATTTTTCCTCCTCCTGTAGCTTTACTTTGTTGCTTAACAAAGGACTATTTAATCGGTATAAAAATATATATTCCTATAATATATGTGTGTGTGTGTTCCTTTTCTACTTGTCAGTGGGACTAAGACATTTTTTTATTTACCGTGCATCTTTACTGATTTAGATTCAAAGAAGATCAAGAAAGATTTCAAGAAATCAAATAATACATATCTAATGAAATACAAATATTTACAGAATTTTGGAATTATATGATTTATTTCCAAGATAAATTGAATCTCAGAATAGGTGTTTGCCCCAGGTTACAGAGCTCTCCATTGGCAGAGCTGGCTTATATACATAGACTTTAGATATTATTTTTTAAGCCGATAAAAGGTTAGGTAAATCATTAATCAGCCATTGTGAATCAACTTTATTATGAAATGATTTAAATACTACTGTAGTACTTTCCCAGTTATACATTTTGAAATCTATAGCTTACAGAGTACAAGCTATTAAGGAAACTCAATTTATACACCTTTTCATATCCTTAAAATACTGTTTTACTTGGAAATTCAGTCTTTTGCTAAGTACTCTTACATAATGGAAACAGTGCTAACTAGAAAAAGTTATAAATGATCAGAAATTATCTTGTTTAGTTTATGATAATGTTTCTAATATTTAACTCAGTTATTTATTATAATACTATTATCATTATACAATCCTTAGAGAAAAAAACTTACCTGTACATGGTTAAAAATAGGTCACATTGTTAAATTCATAGCTGACTTTTGCCTCTCATCATTTTGTGTTTCCTTCTTTGTTTAGTAAGTGTGTATTTAAAGATAATATTTGTGCTTTCAGTCCAATGTTTTGAGGTTCAGGGTTATAGGTGTAATTGATATTTTACTTAATTTTAATACAGATTCTAATTCTAATACTGTCTTCTTTATAAGTGAGCCACATGACAAAAAAGATCAGTTTGAAGGACCAGTGTAGAAAAAAATGACTTGCCTAGTTTTCTCATCTGCTGCCTTCTAATAGTACAGACATCAGCCACAGGCAAGTAGAACAGTTACTCTTCGAAGCAGCCCCAACTTTACTTTTGTGCAGGAAAGTCAACCCCACAATCCTACATAAAATATAAGCTTGACACTACACTTAGATAAATACATTTTTAAATGCAAAACATGGAATTTATGCAAGGTAGATGTCTTTTCTAAAAGTTGGTGCTTCTGTGTTACATTAAGAAATACTTTTTTTTTTTTGTCTTTTGTCTTTTTCCGTATCCGGCAACGGATCGCAACCCTCAGTGTTGCCCCCGTACCGGACCGGGGACCGGCAACGGGACCGCAACCCTCGGTGTCGCTCCCGCACCTCGCTCAGCCAGTGAGCGGGAACCGGTCTGTATGTGGGATCCGAACCCTCAGGCAGGAGCGCCGCCGCGCTTCCCAAGCGGCGCACCATCCAGTGCGCCACCGGGCTGGCCCAAGAAATACTTTTTTTAATAATAGAATTCTGTGGCCAAGGACAAGAATTCTTACTCTTTTATAATAGGTTATTGTTGCTTAGTATTAGCCGGGACATTTAAACTTTAAAAAAAAAAAATCATCTGGGAAGAAAAATCTGCTTTAGAAAAAAAATAGGAAAAAAAGTATGGAAGGAAATCAGCCCCTCCTCCCCAGTTTGGAAATGGAGATTACAAGGGTACTTCAAAAAGTTCATGGAAAAATAGAATTAGAAGATAATATGAATCTTTCCGTGTACTTTTTGAAGTACCCTCTTATAGGCTAGATGTGTATATAATATCTCTGAAAGGATAGTCCAACTGCCTCTAAGAAGAGGAGTGGGAGTTGTGAGGAGATTTTTCATTGTATACCATTTTGGGATTTTGTTTTATTTTGTTTTTTTTAAAAAAGATGACCAGTAAGGGGATCTTTTTTTTTTTTTTTTTTTTTTTTAAAAAGATGACTGGTAAGGGGATCTTAACCCTTGACTTGGTGTTATCAGCACCGCACTCTCCCAAGTGAGCCGCGGCCGGCCTTCGTTGTATACACTTTTGTTCTCTGCATTTTAAAAAAGTTTTATGTATGAGGGCCGGCCCGTGGCTCACTCAGGAGAGTGTGGTGCTGATAACACCAAGGCCATGAGTTCAGATCCTATATAGGGATGGCTGGTTAGCTCACTGGCTGAGTGTGGTGCTGACAACACCAAGTCAAGGGTTAAGATCCCCTTACCGGTCATCTTTAAAAAAAAAAAAAAAAAAAAAAGTTATATGTATGTATTTTTCTACACAAATATAGAAAAAGTTATTCAATTTTTAATTTTAAAAAGTCATGCTTTAAATTTAGTATGGGCAAATCAAGCATATTAACAGTTTATTTATTTATTTATTTATTTATAAAAAGATGACCGGTAAGGGGATCTCAACCCTTGGCTTGGTGTTGTCAGCACCACGCTCAGCCAGTGAGCCAACTGGCCATCCCTATATAGGATCCGAACCCGCGGCCTTGGTGTTATCAGCACCACACTCTCCCGAGTGAGCCATGGGCTGGCCTATGCATATTAACAGTTTAAAACACTGGCATGTAATACGTGGCTACAACCAATTCAGACTTAAGAAGCAAAACAAAAAAATCCACATTTCCCATCTGACTACTTTTGTCAAAAGACGGAATAGAATTCAACTTCCAAAGGGATTAGGAGAGCTAGGCTAAAAGTTAGGTTTAATACCTAATATTTAGGTACCATAGGTATAGTACCTAAAAAAAAAAGGGAGGGGTTGTTTCTAAAACCGATGAGCCTGCCTTAACCTTGAAAAACTTGCCCTATAGTGAGTGCATTCTTTTTTTTTCTTTTTCAAGAGTGTATTATTTTCAAAGTATATAATGAATTCTACAATGTTGCTGTAACTATTCCAGTTCTCAGGTGAACTTTGGGATCAGAATTGTTCTATTTAAAGACATGACCCAGGAAACTGAATTCTAGATAGTAAGCTTCTATTCAAGTAGCTCACATTGGGACAGCAACAGGCTATTGGGATACAGTTTTAAATAGAAATTTGCGATGATGCCAGAAATTCTGTTGGGAATAGAAGTAACTTCTACAAACAGTAGTTTAAATGAGTGCTTTATGGACCCAAGATATTGCTTGAACACCAGAGTACTGGAATTGTGTGCTGTAGCTCTTAAGAGTCATGACACTTGGTGCATGTTAGGTGGTTTAGGAGACCAGAGAATTTCTCAAGGGCTCTAACTACCTCTTAAAACCTTGTTTGTGAATGTGTACTGTTTTCTCTGCATCAATAAGGAAAATTCCAAGACAACCAGTATCACAAGAACTGAGGTCAAGCGTTCAGATCCCCTAACAGGACAGCAGCCCAAACAAACAAGAACTGTTGGCAAAAATAGAGAGACTCATTTTAAATCTTGGCCTTGAAGAGAATATATCACTACATGCTGAAACCTAAGAGTTCAATAACTAACTAGGACATGTGACAGATTATGCTATGCACTTTTAATAAATATTAACCCTTTATTCTCTCTGGAGAACTAGATTGTTTTACAGTCTAGGGAGAAAAGTGGCAGCAAGAATTATTCATTCAATAAGTAATACAGGGCTGGTTAGTTAGCTCAGTTGGTTGGAGCACAACCTTATAACACCAAGGTCAAGGGTTGGGATTCCCATACCGGCCATCCGCCTAAATAAATAATTACTGAGGACCCACTATGTGCCAGGTACTGTTGGAGGCATGGGGCCTATGGCAGTGAACAGACAAAATCCCTGCCCTTATGGAATTTAGATTCTGACAGTCAAAATATATAACGTGATGATAAGTGCTGTGGAGAATAATTAAACAAGGAAGAAGAATGCTTAATTTTAAATAGGGTTGTCAGAGGCAGCCTCACTAAGGTGACATTTGAGCAAAGGGTTGAAGGTAATGGAGCAGGCCAGTGCTGAGCATCCAGGCAGAAGATACACTGAGTGCAGAGGCCCTGAATCAGAGTTTTTTGGCATGTTCAGGAATCATCAAGAAGACTAGTGTGGCTGAAGTAGAGTCAGGGGTGTAGAGAGTAGTAGAAAATTAAGTAAAGGTAAAGGGCAAGGCAAGGCCACTTATTTAGGACTTTGTATGCTGTGTTAAGGATTTTGGCTTTTATTCTGAGAAGGGAAGCTATAGGAGAATTTT